AACACTGGGTTTGGAGTCAGGAAACCCAAATTTAAGACTTGGCCCTGTTAGTTGCAATATAAGTCACTTTACTATCATTTTCTCTTCTGTGAGATAAACATTAAAGCAAAAATGAGTGCCTACTGCTGGGGATCCAAAGATAGTCCCTGAACTCAAGGAGCTTCTATTCTGCATCATTCTTGTATCACTTGACAAGGGTCTTACAAATTTTTTTTTAAATTTTGTAAACCTTAAAGCACTATAGAAACATGCACTATAATTTTCAAATGGGTATTCTAAATAACTGGTTACTGGTAGGAAGGTGGGGGGTGATCTAAAGTATCCCCTGACCCCCCATTCAAGAAGGGTCCTGTGGAGGACAGAAAGGATTCCCATGAGCAGCAGAGTGTAGAAAAGGTCTCTGTCCCTAAAATTTCAAAGTAGTATAATCACTATCCCAGTACATCAACAGAAGCAGCTTCAGTAACCTGGGGTAACGAGCCCTGAGGTCATCTATAGTTGCATCTGTCCCCTTCTCTGGACTTGGTTTCAAATGCCAGTTCTGCTGCTCACTGCTTTGGTCAACTTGGACCAGTCGCTTCTTTCTATGAGGCTGTTGGACTACTCCAGGAGTTAAGCTGGGGTCTGTGAACATGTTAGAAAATTTTTTTTAAAAGAATAAGTTTCAATATCATTGGTTTCATTTGTAATCTTACAATATCTCATACATTTAAAAATGTTAATTCCAAGAAGAGTTCTTGTTGGCTTCACCAGACTGCAAAGGGGTCCAACAACACAAAGTTAAGATCACTAATGTTCCTTCCAGTTTTATAGCTATCCTACTACTGTAGGTCTTTACAATAACCTACCAGGATAATAATATCCTCTTAACAGGTACCAGTGTCCTCTGCTCTTCACACTGCCTGAATAATCTTTTATTCGTAGATTTGGTCATTTCACTTCTTTGCTCAAAACTCTTCAGTGATTTAGTGGCCTGTTACCAGCTGAATAGAGTTCAGACTCATTTGTTTGACAGTCAAGGCCTTTCTCTTAACCTTTCTAGCCTCATCTCCTAATCCTCTTAAAATTCTACAGTCCAATAGAACTGGGCATCTCTTCTCAACCTCCCCACCTCCCTCCTCCCCCCCAGTATACAATTTACATTCACCATGCCTTAGCTCATGTTATTCCTTATCCTTGGAATGTCCTCTCTCCCTCTGCCTGCTGAATCCTTACCCTATCCCAACCTTCAAAACCTAAGTCATGCTATTTACATGGAACCTTTACTAATGCTCCCCATCTAAGATAACCTTCCCCTAACTGCCTTCAAATAGTACTGTTTTACACATCCCCAATATAGTCATCTTGTTTGTATATATAGTTGTTTGTATTTTATCCCTCTATTAGACTGTGAGCTCCGTGAGGGCAGGGAGAATGTCTTGTCCAGACAATGTATTTCTCCGAACAGTGTTCTTCAAACAGTAGGTGCTCAATAAATATTTGAATCTCAACCTTTGCTTTCAGTGATTTATTCCAAGGTATGGTATTAACCTCAATATCTGAAGGGCTCCCAAATGGAAGACTTTTCTTGTAGCATTAAAGGAGAGAACTAAAAAGGAGTGGAACTCATAATAGAGATCTGGACCATGTACGTGGAAGAACTTAAAAGCTGTTCAGCAATGGGAATATGCTGCCCCCTGTAGTTGAGTTCCCATCACTGTAAGTGTTCAAAAGGAGGCTGGCTGTAAGACTAGTGTAGTAGAGTGAAATGTAGGGCAGAAAATCTTGCATCTCTGTGGGGAATCCTCCCTAACCTCCAATATTAGGACCATAGATTTGGAGATCGATGAGATAGATAGACTACCTTCATTTTTTTCTATGAAGGAGGCCTAAGGTCACACGTGTAGTAAGTATTACCAGAGCTGAGATTTGAACTTGGGTCCCTGGATTACAAATTCATTGTTCTTTTTAGATGACTCAGCCAGCATAGAAACCAGCTCTGTGTTTCACTAGTATCCAAATTAGTTTAGAGTGGAGAACTCAATAGAAGCACTGAATCTGGAATTTAGAGTCAGATTCAAATCTCCACTTAACTAGCTTATTTTAGGCAAGTTACTCCCTAAACACCATTCTTCTGTGAAAGGACGATGCCACCTAAAACTACTTCTCTTGCTTTGTAACAAAACAAAGTGGTGTAAGAAATGTGAGCAGTTATTCCTAGCCCCAGCCCCAGTCAGCAGGGTAGGAATGAAAGCGACAATGCCAGGTATAGAACCAGCTTGCCAAAGGTACTCCAGAGGTGTGGGACCCCAAGCTCTCTTCAGATGTAGAGAGGGGAGGTCACTAATACAGTGCAATCGAAAACTTTCTGATACATTGTTAATAGCATTGCAGATTTAGAAGATGTAGAAAGTGCACAGGATTGGTTGGGCTTCCTCTCATTTCCCGTATGTTTTACCTTTCTACTTAAAGCCAGTAAGAGGAATAAAACCCATTTGGCCTAAGCTTATGTCCAGTGTAGCTGAGGTGGTAGGGCACAGGAGACAGGGCTGTAATCCCATGGCAAAGGGCCTGGACAGTCAGACTAATTCTGGACTTGGAGTCATTGAAGTGTTTTGAATAGGAGTCATATAATTAGACTTTGGCATCATTAAACCAAGATCTGTCCTGAAGAACGGAATGAGCTTACCAGCCTGTTGGCAAGTCTCCTGCCACCTCCTCCTGTAAGCCTTATATGACCTTCAGCCTTTGCTGCTTTGCCTTGTACCTTCCTTGTACACAAGATGCAAGTATTATAGCAATTTGTTGCCTCCTCAAACTCTTTGAGAGCAAGAACCAAGGCTTATCTAAACCCAAGGCTAGTACTTAATGTAAGGAAGATGAGTTCAGTTAAAGGGTCTGAAAGGGATTATGTTAGAGATGAGCTGCGAACCAACCCAAGGTCAGGGCCAGGGCCACTGTGTTTGTGCTTTAGGCAAGGTTTGAAAAATGTCTTACCTAAATTCACTGGTGGCTTTGAGTCTTTACTCTAAAAATATTTAGTGGACAATAATGGAGAAGTTTAATCTGGCACTGAAAACATCTTAGAACATTTTCAGTCCCTAAGTGATGGAAACCATCCTTTACAGAGGGGAACCACTAGAGGCCTCCAACTGAAGATACTGACATCGTGGAGAGCTTTCAGTTAGCTGAGTAGGGGGAGTGGCCACTTGTTTATGCATTCATTACTTTGCTGCTGAGTAAGTTGGGGCTGGGGGAGAGGGGCATGGCTGGGGACTGGCTAATGAAAACTTTTGGGGCAAAATGATAAAGGAATACTTTAAGAAGAGCCATAATTTTCATACATCAGCATTTTTATCACCTTAAAAGACTTAATGGTTCAAAAAATAAAACCCAGAAAAAACTCATTGCTCAGTGGCCAACCCTGGTGACAAGCTGAAACAGAATGGTCTAGGACAAAAGACACATGGTCTGTTGTGGGGTCTCCTGAACTCAAAGCCTCTCCAATTTAGTTGGTAGGCACTAATCCAGCTTATGCTCAAGAGAAGCTTTCAAGACAAATGTCAGTGGAATGAATGCCTATACTTATTAAAATGAAATAAAATTGAAGAAATAATAATAATACAATGTTACTGGTTTATATTTCAATTCATAAAGTTTACACACTTAAACTACCCCAGCACAATGTCCACACAACTTAATATTGGACACACAGTTGTTTGTTTGGGTGATTAAACAATAAAAATGATGTAAGCAGTTAAGGAAAGGATTGGGTATATAGCTGCATGTCACCTCCATCGTCACAGGTCACATTAGCGAGCATTAGTACAGTCAACAAGAAAAGTACAAAATAAACCAAGTATCTTTATATACAAACCAGTGTCTCTTCTTGTAACCAGCTTGCTCACACTGCACATAGGGTAAAGGAAAAAAAAAGTATCCACTGATACAAGAGAGATTTGTCAGCACAACATAAAACCATTATAAATTAAAAATGAAAGTGAAAATAACAATCTTTAAAAAAGGAACAAGGTGCTAAAAATCTTCATTCGATAGCTTTCAAGTGAGAACTTCAAGCCAGTGTGAATGGGGAGAGGCCCATGCACAGGAAGTACTCTGAGAACAGGGCTCCTGAAACCCTGCTCACAGATCCAGAGTCTGAGCAGGTAAGATATCCCCGGAAAGTCAGTGAAAGTATATAGCTGGTGAGTCCCAGAGCACCACTACCTTGCTGCAAGTGCAGATAAACATACATACACATCCCGAAAGACCAACTACATGTGTACAGTTCAGTTTCTCCTCATTCATACGTATGTGCAAACTAAAAACCTTTTGATATTAGGGAACTCATCTTGTCATGGGGGGGAGGGGAGAGAGAGAAAAGGAACAGCCCTCAAATGGAATCAGTTGTCCAAAATGGCCACATAATTAGTTACACGTCAGCAGTCCTCGTGTTGGGATTCCAACAGGGCTGATTTTGTGTGGGCTTGGGAAGGACAACTTAGATCTGTCTATATGACATAAGTAAAATGACATTTGCCCCATTTTTGATTATTTCACATCTCACATTCAAAGACAAGTCACCCAACACGGAGCTGTGAAGTCATTTGGCAGCTAGTGCTTTTAAAAAAAAAAAAGAATTGCATAGAATTGATTAGAAACACGTAAATAATGCCAAACAGAAAAATGTGCGGTGTGTTGTCTAACAAAACCAGATGGTGTCAACCATAGGTGTGAAACCCTTCCATTTTTTTTCCTTTTAAAAAACTCCCTGGATCCTACCTGGAAGACCCCTTACAGATAGATAGACTTGAGTTATATTCTTGGTTAGTGACATTCCACCTCTGCTATTCTCTCTATATGTATATACACATACATGTGTGTGAATATATCTCTATGCACACATATATACATGTGTGCATGTATGTATATATACAAATGTGTATATATATATACACATACTTTTATATACACACACACACACATATATGCATGTATGTATGTGTGTATACACACACACGGACACACCCACAAATCAAGGTAAAAAAAAAAATCCAAACTGACCAAAAGATCCCTACACCTGTAATGTAAACTTGGCCGCAGGGTATGTTAAGTTTTCATACCTACTTTGACTTTGTGAAAAAGGCCTCTTAGGGGTCTCAATAGAGTGCTTCTTGGAAGAGTTTCAATCTAGCTAGAACACCTGTTAAATATCAGTAGTATGGAGAGTCCTACATAGGAAGCCTTGTTTTGCATGTTTTCCATCCACTTTACCATTGATCTATTAAAATCCTGACATGCTGCTGTGTTTCTAGGTTATATACATTCTGGTCCTCTGACATGTCACAGAATTCAAACATCTGGCCGAGGAAGGCAGCCAAAGGTGGTGTGTGTTAAGAAGAAGATGTCTCTATCTGGAGGTGTCGCCTCAACAAGTCTCTTTCCCTTGGACACCAGTCACTGTCTTTATAGAACTTATGGTTCGGTTGAACCAAGTCTTCTTGGCAGCCTGGACCTCATTGAGTGCGAGACCCAGATGGTGTTCCAGGTCCTGAAAGAGAAAACATATGACCCACAATTACATTTCTGCAGCTGCCACCAAATGACCTGATGGAGCTAGTTCACTCCAGCTTTCAGCTGGCTTGGCGCTGTGAAGTCTTAGGTCTCAAGACACTTACTGAGTGACCCTGCGCAAACCATTTCATGAGGCAGTGTGGCCTAGTGGCTGGAGTAAGGAAGAAATGAGTTCAAATCTCACTTTTTCCACATTCCATTTGTGTCACTCTGGGCAAGTCATTCTTCAAGGCTCCTAAGTTGTAGAGAAGGGGCTCAGAGGAGGCTTTCTCTACAGGAGCAATCACGGGTCTGCTCCAAAATAAAATTACTTCTCAAGGTTGATGGGAGACTAAAATGAAAGAACATTCCTAGTGGGCTATGCATATGTCAGGAACTACTATTTTTACTGACTTGTGCTTTATAGAATTATATAGGATTTAGGTCTTGGAAGGGAGCTTAGAAATAACTTAGACCAAGTAGGTCCCATAGCAGAGTTAACCCTAGGTCCTTTTACTCCAAATTCAGCTCTCTTCAGTACACTATGCTACCTAATTACATCAAAACTCCCTACTGTAAAGCCGGGTATCTTTTGGCCAACTGCTTATTTTTAACAGCATTCCTATAGAGCCAACTGTCCCTCTGTAATGTTGTTTTGCCTAAAGCTGTTTCTTTCTAGCGCCAATTGAGCGACAGTGCTCAAAGGCCAAGATCTTGGTCCTTAGCATCTTATTAATTAATTCTCTGTCACATTCATGTACTCAATTCATGCAGTGAATTCTCCATTCAGTTAAATAGGTCTTTTATGTTCAAGACACAGTACGGGACACAGAAATGGAGAAGACAGTGCTTCTGTCCTTATGTCCAGTAGGTCTTCTCTATAACACAGAAGAAGAGGTAAAAGACATGTACAAATAACTTTGATACCACAGGAATCTGAATGTAGCTATGCTTTCTCTTCTCCACCTCTCCAAATCTGATTTGTAGAAAAACTTATGTATTATATCTTTACACTTTTTCCTTTCAAAGAAATGTCCCTTTAAGGATGTGGCTTACAATGCTACCAATATGGGTAAAAGACAGTCATGACAAGGACCACGTAAGTGCAGGATAAAGTTTTGCTGCTACATTTCAATGGGATTTAAACTCCTATCCTATGACATACTTTGAAAGAAAAAAGCCCTCCAAACTCTCTTTGGTCACAGAAGAAAGGGGGTTGGGAGACAGTGGATAATACTTTTCTATCACGAACATGGGAAAAACCATGGGGCATTCGATCTGGCGATCATCTAGTACAAACACAGTTATGTGCTCTTTAATCAACTACAAAATCATTCCCATAAGTCTCTAGTCCAAGTCCTGAATGTCTTCCCCCAGTAATTCACACCAAGGCACAATCTGTCCCTGGCTCTCCTCACCTGGATTTTACACTCGGCCTCGACCAGCTGTAGTTTGGTTTGTGCTAGTTCCAGCTCCATTTCCCTCAGCTGGTTTTTCAATGTTTCCTTCTCTTCATCAGTATCTTCATCTGAAGCCTCTGTGGCTGAGGTGATGACTTTCACACGCCCTTCCTTGTTGAAGAACTCTCTGCAGCGCTCACAGTCGTCCACCTTATGCTGAAACCAGAGGGCAGACAATCAAGGGCAGTGTCACTGACTGGCCCACGGGAAAGGAGGGATTACTTTTGTCCCCTTTTAAAAAAAGTAGAACTTTTTATTGATATTTTTGTTTCTCACATCACCATAGTTATCCCAAGTATTCCTCCCCCATCCCCATCCCCAAGAGCCATCCCCTATGACAGTATTTTTATAGAGAGAAAAAACAAATCAGCACAACAGATCAATTCATTAAAAAAACCATAAAACACATGCAATGTCTAACACCTGTGGACCTCCCGACTTCACAAAGGGGTGTATTGGGGGTGTCTCTCATCTCTTTTCATTTCAGTCCTGCTGGATCTTTATAATTTTGTTGCATTCACTTTTGGTGCTTTGGTGTGTGGTTGTTATTTCCATTTACATTGTTGTAATTACTGTGTATGCTATTTTCTTGGCTCTGCTTATATGCATCATTTCTTCCAGTATAGTAATGTTCCATTACGCTCACATACTACAATTTGCTTAGCCATGCCCCGACTGTTGGACATCTACTCTGTCTCCCAACTCTTTAAAAATATTTTGGTGTATATGGAGACATCTTATAGATAGTTTCCTTGGGGCATTAAATCCAGTGATGGAGTCTGGTTCAAAGGCCATGGGCATTTTAGTCACATCATTTGCAAAATTCCAAATTGCTTTTCAAAACAATTGTAACATTTGACAGCTCCACCAAAAATATATTTAGAGTACCTCCTTCCACTACCCCTCCAGCACTGACTGACTTGTCATTTTTTGTTATTTTAGGAAGGATTACTTTCATGAAATAGCCACATAGTGTGGGAACCAGGTGACAACTTCTTTAAGTAATGTGACAAATCCTTTCCTAAAAATGCTGCAGAATGCGTTTTGATATAAACTGTAGCAATATATAATATTTCATATAACGAGGCCATTTCTATGTTCTAGGTAACAGCTTCCAAAACACAGCTTTTCTAACATGGCTAGTGATTAAAAAACCTTTTGGCCAAGAAATCCTGTACATAACTAAGATTATGAATTCTTGAAGCAACTGGAGAATGGAGTATTTTTGTCTAGAATCTTGGTGCATCAAAGCTGCAAAGGATAATTGAACACAGATCATAGTATACAGCATTAAAGCAGGAAGAGACCTTGGAACAGAGAATTATGGAGCTGGAAAGTACACTGGGACAGAGAATGTCAGGGCTGGGCTATCCCTGTGCTAAGGATAGTACCTGGCACTTAGTAGGCACTTAATAAAAGTTTATTCTTGACTGCCACCACACAGCTAATTCAGCAGAGTTGCTGAAGAAATATAAAAGCCTAGAATACTAAACTCATGACCAAGAGAACAAGAGGCTGTTCATCTAGAGCCACCAAAAAAAGTGACATAAATAACTGGGGCGGCTAGGGAGTCAGGAGGACCTGAGTTCAAATCTGCCCTTAGACACTTGACATTTACTAGCTGTGTGACCCTGGGCCAGTCACTTAAGCTCATTGCCTAGCCAAAAAAAATAAATAAATAAAAATAACAGAGTTTCCTGCTAAGTTAGTCTTCAAAGGCAAGGCTAACTGAGAAGCCTAGACCTCTTTGAAAGGGACAGCCAAAGAAGGTTCCATGAAAGTGTAAAGTTGGAAAAGTGTAAAAACTACAAGGCAGATAGAGAGTCTAAATGACACTGGATTCAGACATGATCAGCCATGCACTTGGAACCTGAACTAAATTAAAGCCTTGATTTCCTAATCCTGCAGGTGAAGCAGAATAATGAAAACAATAGGCTGCAATGGGAGTTGGCACAGTGCGTTACACAGCTGGCTAGCTGCGGAGCTGGAGGGGTAGGGGGGGTGAAGCTGTTACTAATCTTTGTGGGGAGCGTTTATCTGCAGATCAATACTTTGCTTTGGTACTTAAAAAAAGAATTTTAGGGCTGGAAGGGACTACAAAGCACAGAATCTTGTAGGATCACAGATTTAGAGCTAGAAAGACCTTCAGAGGTAATCTGGTCCAACCCCTTCATTTTACAGATGAGAAAACAGAGAGAGGCCTAGTGACCTAAGATCAAAGAGTGGGAGACCAGAAGAAAGATTGAGTTCAAAAGTCTTGGATCTGCTGTTTGCAAGGAGGTGACCCATTGTCTGCAATATTTTAGAGAATGTTCCTGTTCATGTCTGAGCTGGACCAGAGCCCTGAGGCCCTTATAGCTCAGAGGTTCTGAGTCCTCCTGACCCGAATGGCACCCTTCTTTATGACTGCACAGCCCTGCAGGAAGCAGTCGACCAAGGAAACCCAAATTTATGAAATCTCAAATCAGTACCATGATTTAATAAACTTGTCAATTTTTCCTCTGCAGGGGTCTTCTACTTATGCCTACTTTTGGTATGCAGGTCATTTTAAGTTCTTGAAGGCCCTACAAATTACAATGTGAGCACTAGCAAGCACTCATTAGGCCACACTATTTCTTTGTCAGACAGCTAGATAGCTAGATAGATGGATGCATAGATAGCTAATAGAGATGCATATCTATGTATATAGCATGTATACACATACACACACATAATATGCCCCTTCTATATACACTAGTAACAGGTTCCATTTTTATGAATGAATTTCTAATAATCATGTCTGATATAATATAGCAATGTGACATTTTGAGTTCAATAAAATGATCCTACCTTCTGTGAAATAATCTTTTTTGATTTGTCTTTGAAATCACAGCTAGAAGGGATCTTAAAGGTCCTTTAGTTTAACCCCTTCTTTTCATAAATGACGAAACCAGAGAAGTGACTTCTTTGAGGTCACATAGTGAATTTCTGACAGAGCTGGGAAGTAAACAGTTCCCTGACTGCTAATCCAGTGGAAAAGAAAGTTAAGTCTTTACCTAGTAGGAAAGAACTCAACAGAAAGCATAAAACCTAAGTTCTGGTTCTGGATCTTAACATTTATCAGCTCTGAGACCACGGGCAACTTAGTATTTCTAAGTCTCAGTGTCCTGATCTGTTCGGGGAATTGGACTTAACCAATTCTGATGGGTCCCTCTAGCCACTACCATTCTTAGTCTAAAGTCTTTTCCATCTCTAACAGGGTGTTCTGTGTTTTCACATGCTACGCTCTCAGGTTCATTCCTTTTCTAACGTTTTGTGATTCTGCTCCCCTAGGGCTTTATAACATTGCAACCCCTAATAGTAAAACATTCATGGTCCTGCCCTATGGGAAGTAAGGTTTACACACAATTTTCTCAATATTATTTCCATTCCTCATCACTGGAAAATGTCATTGCCATTCTTTGTCCTGCCTAGTAGTTTATAATGAATAAAGTACTGTAAATAAAGTTCAGAAATTCTTTGCCTTAAATTAAAAGCAAATTGTACCAATACACTAAAGAAAGCCACTTACCCGAATTTTCTCAATTTCTGCTTTATTCACTGACTGTTGCTTTTCCAATCTCTCACTCAACTGGGAACAAATCTAAAGGAACACAAACCATGAAACACTTGAAGCATTACAATCATCTGTGCAAGCTAAGCTTGCGACTCACTCAAAGCTAAACTTGGGCAGTAGAACATTCAGAGATAATTGCAGGGGGGAAGATGACTGCTATTTGGGGGTGTCACGAGGGGGGACAAAAGTGGGAACATTCAGAATGTAAGTTCCCTTAGTTGCATTAACACTACTCTCATGTCCCCTAAAGGCAGGGCCTAGATGATCCATGAAAATATGCTAAACATACAAAGCTGAATGAGGAGGCACAATAAAGGAAAAAAAAACTACTATATATTCATGTAAATGACATCAAGCCAGTCCAGAGGGAAGAGATAGCATCTGCAAGTGACAAAGTTTCAGATTCTAAGAGTCTACCCCTAGACGTGTATCTAACCAGTGTTAACAGAACAGAGATGAGTAAAGAGTTTACAAGCTGAGACAGCATGTGCAAAAAGCACTGGATTTAGAGTCAACAGGCCTGTGTTTGAATCTCAGGTACCAGCACTAACTGGCTGTGTTACCTAGAACAAGTCACTTAACCCCTCTGAGTCTCAGTCTCACCATCTGTAAAATGGAGATAATAGTAAAAATTACCCAACAGGATTGTTGTGAGGAAAGCTTTTTGGAAACCTCAAAGTATTATAGAAATAGGAGTTATTGTTATTATTATTACTTAAGGACTTAACGAGGAGAGGAATAAGTTTCCCCTAGGAAAACATCTGCCAATATTCTCTAGAGGAGAAGGTAGTATCAGTGGACCAGTGGCACATACCTGCTTGTAATCACCAATGATGGAACTGTTTTTTTTAATCTCTGACTCTGCTTTGTCCAGCTCCCGACGGCACATTTCTTTCAGCTGCAGGAAAAAAGTGAAAAGGGAATAAACAAAGTCCTGAAATTGTGCATATAACCACTACCAAGAACTATGTGACCTCTTCTGCAGGACTCTAGAGAGAAAAAAGCCATAGACTTGGAGAAAGATGACATGGAACTGAGTCCAAAGCCCACTATGTCCTAAATGGACAGTCACTTTGCATCCCTGGGCTCTAGTTTCCTCACCTGTAAGGTGGAGATGATGATAATAATTGCATTTATATACTTCCAGGGCTTTGAGGGGAAAGCACTCTAGAAATGTTAAAGCTCTTTACAAATGAGTCATTATTATTAATAATAATGACAGTGATAATACTCCTACTGCCTAAGGTCCGTGGTTATAAAAACTGTCATATACCTTCAAACACTATGGACATGGGTGTTATTATTATCAATTTTTGATATAGCCAACTATCCTGTTCCTTAAGTCAGTAGAGGGGAAAGCAGTTATTAGCTCAAACCATAGTCTGTTGGTCAATAAACATTTATTAAATGCCTACCAAGTACTAGGGATACAGAAAGGGTTTGCAGAAGACAGTCCCTGTCCTTAAGGAACTCACAATCTCTTGGGGTAAACAAATATGTACAAACAAGCTATAGAGGAAAAATAGGAAAAATAAGAAAGAAGGCACTAGAATTAAGAAAGGGTGGGAAAAGTTTCCTTCAGAAGATAGAATTTTATTTTGAACTTGAAGGAAGCCAGCAGATGAAGATGAGGGAGGGGAGCATTCCAGATATGGGGGGAAGTCAGAAATGGAGTGTCTTATTCAAGGAATAGCAAGAAGATGAGTGTCACTGAATCAAAGAATATGTGCTGGAGAGGAAGATATAAGAAGACTGGAAAGGTGGTGGTGGTGGTGGTGATAGGTTTATCCTATCCTTTGAATGCCAAACATAGGATTTTGTATATATGACTGTGGAGGCAATAGGGAGCCACTGAAGTTTGAGTTGGAGGGTGACAGGGTTGGACTTGGGCTTTAGGAAAATCACTGATGGCTAAATGGAGGATGAACTAGAGTGGGGTGAGACCTGCCTCTGGGCTGGGGGTGGGTGGGAAGTAGCATCAGAGAAGAGAAGGAGGTATATTTGAAAGACATTGTAGAGGTAACATTGATAGTGGCAACAGCTTGGATATGAGGTAGTGAGGAATCTAGGATGATACCTGGTTTGCAAGCCACAGAGACTAGGAGGATGGTGTTGCCTTTGACCATAACAGGGAAGTTAAGAGGGGTATAGGGTTTAGGGGGAAAGATAATGAGTTTGGTTTTGGACATGATGAGTTTAAGATGTCTACTGGTGAGACTGGAGGTCAGCAAAGAGGCTGGGAAGAAACAGGTAGGTTTGAGACTGTGGCAGCCGATGAGGTCACCAAGTAAAGTAGTATAGAGGGAGAAGGTGGCCCAGGAGAGATCACCGTGGGACACACTCATGGTAAGAGAGTGGGACCTGGATAAGGATTCAGCAAAGGAGAATGTAGGAGGAGAACCAGAAGAAAGCAGTGTCCAAAAAACCCAAAGAAGAGAGTATCAAGGAGAAGAAGGTGATTAATTGTGACAAAGGACAAAGAAAAGTAAAGGAAAGTGAGGACTGAGAAAAGGATATGGGATTTGACAACTAAGAAATCAGTGGTAACTTTGGAGACAGTGGAATGATAATCTCATTCCTGTGGAATGATGAAGTTAAAAGCCTGATTGTAAGGGGTTAAGAAAAGAGTGACACAAGGTGGAGGAACGTATTGTAGATGGCCTTTCAAGTTTGGTAACTAAGGACATAAGAGATATGGGATGATATTTCGTGGGGATGGAAGGATCAAGTGAGGATTTTTTGAGGATGGTGGAGGTTATGGGCATGTTTGTAGGCGGTAGGGAGAAGCCATTAGAGAAGGAGAGACTGAAAATAAGTGAAAGAGTGGGGATGCCAAAGGGGGCATTCTGTTGGGAGGGGATGGGAAGGGTTGGAATAATACAGAAAATCTGAAACTTTGCTTCAGGTTTTGGGTGCCATCTACAATGGCCCATGGGTTGTCTTTTTCAGCCCTGCTCAGCTGTAAACATCAAGTTCTAAAGGGTAGATAAAATGAGGCTGGTATTTCACCTCTTTCCTCTTCTCTGAATTCTCAGGAGATGTTTATTTATTAATTTGTTATTAATTTGTTTTTATTAATTTGTTATTTATTAATGAAGAAACAGCCAAGAACGAAGATGAGTAGCAAAAGATACTTAACCAGTTAGTTGCACAATTAGTTGCCCATCTGCCTGAGGGTGAACTCTGAAGAGTTTTTCACAGTAAATTAATTTTAACTTGAACATAAAAAGTGGTATACAAGATCAATTTTCCATGAAATGTGTAATCTTAAAAGATGGGAGGGCCATGTAGGAAGAGGTAGGCTGAAGAAGAAGACAACTTGAGTGCTGTTTGTGTACACATGCAATTGTAAGAGCCTTAATGGAAGGCCTCAGTACATCTGGTAGACTGTACCCCTCTCCCCCAATCCCCACTCAGGGGTTACAGGAGGCTTTGAACAAGAATAACATAGGAGAAGGCACATATGGGTTGTTATCTGCACTGCTGGTATCAAAGATTGGCGAGAGAGCAATGGGTCCTCAGCCAGATCAACAAGGATGCCTATGTCTACCTTTCTGTGTACATGTCACAGAATTAGGAATGCCATTGTTGGAACCTTAGACATCACTTAGCCCAAATTTTACAGAAGAAACAGGCCCAGAGGGGTGGGGTGAGACTTGCCTAAGATCAGCCAGAGTCATTCACAGAGCTGGGATCCAAGTTCAGTTCTGAAAACTCCTAGTCTGCTGCTTCATGTCACTTCACATAAGGCTCGAGAGAAGCAAATGCTGGGCTGCAGTAATTTTTTCTTGTCATATGAAAGAATGGACACTGACCTACTATCTCCTTTCCAGTTTTAATTATTAAAGATTATTAGGCTTTAAGCAGTAAATAAACAGAGCCTTTGGAGAGAAACATAATCCAGCTGTCTCAGGTTTTCCCCATGCCAACAGGAAATACAGTGCTTGCCCTCTGTGATTTCCTTTTAGTCCTCAGGTATAGTACGACAGGGTGTTAGAATGCAGACTAACACCTTAGAGGAAGCTTAGAGCTAGATTCTTAACAGTAGACAAGATTCTAAAACAAGGAATGTTTAGAATATAGAATGTCAGAGCTAGAAATGACCTTGTAATCCTATTCATTTCACAGATGAGGAAATTTGAAGCTAAGATTGGAAAAGTAACTTGCTCAAGGTTTAGCTACTAAGTGGGCCAGGCAGGACTTGAACCTTGTCTTTTGTCCTCAGAGCCAGTGTTCTCTCTGCTCTACCCTACACTGCTCCCACATTCCTTTGCTTTCCAGGTGCAGAAAGGCTGGGGTGGGGGAGGGAGTTTGGGGGCCCTGAGACACCAGTCACCTGAGCAGACTCCTCTTCTAGTCGCCTTTTCTCTTCCTCTGCATCAATCAGCTTCTGTTTGGTCATCAGCAGCTCCTTATTCAGGGCATCTGCCTTTTCCTCAGCCTGCAACAGAGACATATTGCACTGGGGGCTGTCAGAGAATATTGGAAAGTTAGAGCTGAAAAATTATCTGATTTAATACTCGATTTAAAGACAGGGAAATAGAAGCCGAGAAAGAAGAAGGAAGTGCCTTTTGCTGAAGGCTGCACAGCTGTTTAGTAGTGAAGCAGGGGTTAGATCCCAGGCTTCCTGCCTCTGTGCAAAAGCAAAGTTGTCTTCACTCTTGCCTAGTGAGAGAACGGCCCCATTCCTCATTATCCAGGAATGACTTCTTGTTCTGCTGATTTCTTCCATCTCATCATGAAAGGATCTGGGACTTTTCAGTTCCCACTCATTTGCTGGGGTGAAAACTTGTATCTTTTTACTTTCTAATAGTCTGCTTGAAAAACAGAAATATGTGGATATTCAAGAGCTGACACAAGAATGAGTACTGAACAAGTTTTATCACATCAGAAAAAATTATCATGAGAAATTAAGCCTAAAAGATATAGGCCTTCACATAAAGGCTGAAAATAACTAAATATGCAAGAGAGAAAGGATCCTTCCTGAACTGAACTACAAACTGTACTTGCAATATTAGAAGGGGACAGAAAATCTGAGTGACAACTGACTGGTGTTTTAATGGACTGGTAGGAGTTCAACAGGCACAGGAGGGGAGGAAGGGCATTCACCTGAGGCAAACACATGGAGATGGGAAAGGGGGGTGGGGGTGTGTGTGTGTGTGTGTGTGTATTTTTAGAGGTGGGACAGAAAGTAGTTCTGTCTGGCTTAAACATAAACATTGCATATTTGGCAATAATAATATAGGAAAGATAGGATTGTTGCCAAATTGCGGAGGGCTTTGAATGAGAGGCAAAGGAGTTTGAACTTTATTTCAATGTCAATAGTAAGCCACTAAAAATTTTTGAGCAGAGGAAAGATATGGTCAGCTCTTTCTCTACATAATGAAGACTGGTCTAATAACAAATGGAGGGTTCATTTGGGTGAGAAGAAACAAACAGAAAGACCTATTAGTTGGCTACTGCAAAAATCTAGCTGTGGTGAAAGAGAAGGTGTCAGATGCAAGTTATATTTTGGAGACACAAACGGGACTGGTGAGTGAGAGGTAAGAAGCACAGGGAAATCATCACAGGATACAAGCTGTAATTGAAAACGAAATGAAGAGAACCTGAAATCAAGGAAACATCAGCCAGAAGGAAAAAGGTTTTGTTCTCTTTTGCACTATAGACCCAATACTTTTCCTTCCTCACGTAAGAAATACTGAAAGCTGCCTGCCTAATTTCTCCACGAAATATCTGTAATAACCTGGACCACTGAAACCCACCTTCCTTTCTAGTGTTTAGAAAACTTGCTTAGATAAAAGCTTAGTTGAATATGAGGAGAAACCATATAGAAATAATCATGACCTTTGGGAACACAAAGCCTGGCAGCAGTGAGCATTATAAAATAACATCTAGACTCCTCTCTGGTACTGAGCACTTCCAAAGTCAGACACCCACAGCATCCCACTGATGTCAAAGTGCTGATGAGGGAGCGCTATCCTAGTAACCTTGTTGGAAGGGAATGCTTTCTCTTTCAGTGGCATGGCCACAAGTCCCTTTTCTAAATATCAGAGTCATATCTTGGTGAGTATATTCAGAGGATGCAAAAAAACAAAAAAGGATGCTTACTAAAAAGAGAACTTCAACTGATGACTGCCTTGAGAAAACCAAACACACAGCAAAACCTTCAGATCAATGAGAATCATTTCCCCCATCCCAGTAACATAAATCAGTTCTTCGCTCAGAGAGACAAGCATACATTGTTGGGCCTGTACCAAAAAATGATGACAGCTCCCCAGGATCAATTTATACGCTGCACAGATGCAGACTCATTACTGTCCCAAGGCTTTTAAGGATATTCAAGGAAAAAGCCCAACAGCAACAGATCAAATTTTTATAGTACTTTAGGGTTTACAAATACTTTCTTTACATTGATCCTGTCATATTAGGTCCCTTTTACAAAGAGGAAACTTGAGGTTCACATAGCCTAAGTGACCTGCCTACCAGAGTGACAGATATGAACCTGGGATGTGAATCTGCATCTTTCTACTATATCCACAGTACCTTTCCTCCTCAGAAACCACTGAGAAAGAAATAACAAATGAGATGGAAGATAATTTTGCTAATGGGGGAAAATTCCAGAAATCTGTAATATTGGCTAATCAGTTTTCTGTCTTTTGGAAGTAAGGGAGTAGGGAGGAAAAGAGAGGAGACAGAAGCACTGACTGACATGAGCACCAAGAAAACTCTATCATCTTGTAAGAGAACCCATCTAGTTTCCAATTGGTTCTGAGACCCCACTGACTTTGAATTATGGTTAAGAAAGTGAGAGGAGCTCAGTTTCCCCTCTATGAGGGGGGAGGATGAATGAATGCATTTTTGGGGACAGAGGTTGCTGTCCCTTTAGCTCTGCTTTACACTTCAGTAAGAATCAGTGTTGAGAGATTTCCTCCAGCTTTTCAGCGCTCCTCATCTGAAGCAGCAGCAGAAGAGCAACGGGACATGGTACTGACATGAGGAAAGGCACAAGGTTTAGGCAGATGCCCCTCTTTCTGACTTACTATGATGTCTTTGAGTCAGAGAGGAATGAGCATGCTGCTAGAGTATTTTGGATATTTTAGGGATAATTTTTATTTCTCATTCAGTTTTGCATAAAAATCAGCTAGCACCAACTTTGCACACATGACCTTTGACTGATGACTCTCTTTAACTCTGGTATTACAAACCAGTCAATTAACTTTCTGAGCCTTTGTTTCCTCATGTTTAAAGTGGGTATAACGTTCCTTATGACTATGACTGACTGGTGAGGATCTGGTGTAGGCAGGTACTCCCTCAAATGCTGTAGAATGCAACCTATCCTGTGTGTTTTGTAAACCAAAAGCCTTATGATGTAAGTGAGATGTTATTGTTATACACTGATGAGGTCACAGATGTAGTGGAATATTGTTAACCAAACTCTGTGAGTGGGATGCTAGTTTAGTTTAGTTTTGTTTTTTTTTGGTGATGGTTCATTGCTTTGATTTTTTCCTTCTTTATAGCAATGAAAGGAAAAGTTTGAAAGTCATTGTTTAAGAGTAATATTGCCCTCTTGGAATCAGTATAAAAACCTGAAGCATAAAAACACTTCTTTGGCACAGAAGTCAAGAACAAAAACCTCAATCCACTTTTAAGCTGGTGGGATGGTAATGTTACCATTAGACTGTCAATTTCTGGCCAACACACAATGGCTCAAGCTAACATCCAGCTGGAACCAAATGAAAACTGTTTATATCTAAGAGGCAAAGCCCACTCACTCTGGGAACAAGAAAGAACACCTTAGTTTTATCTGCCCATGGAACATTCTTCACCACCCTGAATGTTGATAATAATTAGAGATACACATAAACTGCTTTGGGATGTACATTGTGGGATATAGTGGGTAAAGCCCTGGTCTTGGAGTCAGAGGTCACTGTCACTACTCTTACTATCTGCATGATCCTGGGAAAATCACTTCACATATCTGAACCTCAATTTCCTCATGCAAGTGTGGGGACCCTGGGGCCTCAAGGCCACACGTGGCCCTAAAGCTCCTCAAGTGTGGCCCTTTGACTGAATCCAAACTTCACAGAACAAATCCCCTTAATAAAAGGAATACTAATGAAGAATCAAAAAGGGAAAAGTGCTTTGTAAACCTGGATAAGTCTAAGTCCTCTCCATATTTACAAATGAGGACATAGGCTCAGGGAGTTCAGGGCCTCTCTCCTGAGGCTCTGCAGTCTGCTCCTTGGCCTCCCTAACCACACACTACTCAACACTCTGCTGACCTGCTAATCCTCACACCACTCACTAGGCAAGGCAGGAGTCCAGGAAACGTTTCTCCTTCTTGGGGTACAGGGGTCAGAATCATCATATTGGGAATTAGCCCAATCAGCTACAACCTCAAATTAGAGGGTAGTATCCTGACATATGAAGCAAGATCCTGGGGCCGGGTGACACTGAAAATCCCACCACTCAAAGTACTGAGGAAAATTCAGCCCTGGCAACACAATTTCTCTCCCCTGGCTCCATGCAGATGTTGCTTCAAACCGAGGGCCTCCGACTAGTGGTATAAGGAACACACATGGGTTTCCCCAGGCCTCTGTCCTCGAAGTTCCAGGTTGCTAAGGATCCACTCTGAGTATAAAAGTAATTCTGGAAACATGATTCTACAGCTATATCTACCATCATAACAGCTGCTATTTCCAGAGGAGCTGTTGCTATATGCGGACCACCATAGTGCCAGAAGTACCACCACTGGAAGACGTTCCAAAAACAGGGGAAGAGGAAAGGTAAAGTCCACATCTTGCCAACAGAAACGACTGGAGCACATTTCAAACTGGCAGGGCACTTGGCAGCAGTTCAACTAGAAATCCTTAATTTAATCAGCACATAGCAGGCAGGATAAATAGTGGACTAAGTATTTTTCATCCCTAGGAGCCACCAGTGTGGAAGGAATTCAGGAGACAATTGTGATGAATAATTCAAACCCAGAGTCCCCTCCAGTGCTGATCTGAGTTCCTGAAGGTTACCAAGGCAATACCTGCTTTGGGAGGACCCTGCAGGGTATAAAGGCTTGGAGTGGATTTGGAATAGACAGTGTGTCTATCACCCAAGAACCAGCACAGATAAATGGTGGTTTGAGAGAGAAGAATGGCCACCAGGTGATGATTTTTTCCATATTAACTCATGAAGTTCATGTAACTAAGGTGTGGAGGCGTCATGATGTACAGCAGTAGAAGAAGCACTTAGGCCAATGAAGTAATGGGTCCTTTTAAGTACCGACAAATTTTATTGATAATAAAACATGGAACCAAAAAACGATATATGAAAGAGTCAGAGAACAGGCAGCTAGGTTAGGTAAGTAGAACTGTATGCAAAGCAGGGGAAGAGGTGAATTTAAGTTCCAAAGGGATGTATCCTGGGAACAAAGACGTAATATTTTCAAATTGGGCTAGGAGCAGGAATTTGAATGCTCCTAGATAAGTAGAAAAATCATTATAGTCATTTAAGGATTTAGACATGTTAAAAAACAAATAGAAATCAAATGTACTAAGCCTTTTAATATATGCTAATTCCATGTAAGTTCGGTAAGACTTACATTATCCAGGTCCTTACGCAATGCAATCTTGCTGGTTACTAGCTCGTGAGCCAGGTCATCATTTTCTTGCTCCAACCTCATGTTAGCTTCTTGGAGGCGCCTGTTTTCCCGCTAGGAGGTGAAGAGATATGAACACACAAATGGCAGAAAGGAAAAGTTTCTCACAACTTGGGAAATACAATAAAACATTTTGTAAACAAAAACTCAATTGGGGGGGTCCTATCAGAAACCTGCCTTATCCTAGAATGATTCCTAAGAATAAGAACCACTTCCCTTTTCCAATTTTCTACTTCCAGAAAGAAATATTTAATTAAGTCAAGTGACCGTGGTCAAGTAGCTATTTATTATTACTGAACTATGATAGGAAGGTCAGTGGATTCCAAGACTCAGGGCTGTTAGCTGCTTTCTTTGTTTTGCTAAATGGATTCTTGAAAGCTTAATCTGAAAACTAAACCTAGAAACAGTGAACTCTGGAAACAATGCTAGTCGTGACTTGAAAGACAAAACAGTCACAATTTTATAAAATGAAATACACAAGGCATGGCAACTGGCCCGGATTTTACACCGAATTCCTCAGGATGATACCTCAAATCGTTCAATGGGGTCTTCCTGCTGGGCCTGCTGCTCCCTCATGGCATGATATTCTTTTTCATACTTTTTTAACTTCTTCTGGCTAATCTATGAGAGATCAAAGAACAAATGTACAGACATATCAGAAAATAACATATGCACACAGTTCTTGCAAAAAGAAGATATGGAAATTTTCATGAAGTACAAGTTCAATTCAAGTTCACAATTAGACATGGCAGCCAAAAATGCTACCATCATCTTAAGCTATATCTATTGAAGTGTAGCATCCAGAACAAAGGAAATGCGAGTCCTGCTCTCCTTTGTCCTGTTCAAATTACATCTGGAATATTATGTTCAATTCTTCTAGGTGCTTTATCTTGGCAAGGGCACTGACAAACTCTAGTAGGTCCGGAGGAAGGTAACTAGGATGGTAAGACATTTGTAGTCTCTGGCGTAAGAAAATCTGTTGAAAGAAGTGGGGATGCTTGCCCTGGACTCAGTCAACATGTCAATAAATATTTATTAATATTTACTGTAGGCCAGGACTGGAGGAGGAAATGGCAAACGACTCCAGTATCTTTGCCAAGAAAACCTCATGGACAGTGTGGTCCATGGGGTCATGAAGAGTCAGACACGACCGAACAACTGAACAACAGCAATGTGGGCCAGGCACTTCACCAACGCTGGAGATACAAAGGCATTCTAAGGAGGGAAACAACATGCTGCATATGTACAAGATATATACAGGGTAAACTGGATGTAGTCTTCACGGGAAGGCACTAGCATGGGAAGGGAGCCTAGAAAAAGCTTCTTGTAGAAGAGGGGTTTTTAGCAGGGACTGAAGGGACGTGGACGTGTGGAGGGAGAGAATACTGGGCAGGAGGCACAGCCAGTGAAAAGACACAGAGCTAGAAAATGGAGTATATTGTGCAAAGAACAGCAAGGAGTCCAGCATCACTGCATCACACAATGTGGTGGGGGTTAGAGGGGTAAGGTGTAAAAAGACTGGAAAAGTAGGAAAGGAACAGGTTATGGAGAACTTTCAAAGCCAAACAGGATTTTAAATATGTGCTCCTGGAAGTAATAAGGAGTCACTGGCATTTACTGAATGGGGGAGAAGTGGGGATGGTAGCAGGAAGAGCGGCTAACATGGTCAGACATGACCTTTAGCAGGTTCACTTGGGCAGCCGAATGGAGGATGGACTGGAATGGGGAGAGACTTGAAGCAGGGAGCTCGATCAGAAGGCTACTGCAATAGGCTAGATGTGAGGCAATAAGAAAACTTAGGAGAAAGTGTGATGACTGTTTTCAAGTAACTGAAGGGCTGTCACTTGCTTGGTTTGGCCCCAGAGGGCAGAACTAGGAGCAATGGGTGAAAAGTTTTAGAGGGCAAATTTTAGATCATCATAGAACTTCCTAACAATAAGAGTTTTCTCAAAGTGGAAGGGATGCCTCAGGAGGTTCTGAAATATTGACTCAAGGTCTTCAAGTGGGGGCTGGATGACCACTTGTTAGATATGCCAGAGAGTATATTTATGTCCAGGTATGATCTAGACTAGCAGATCTCCAAATTCCTTTCCAATTCGAGATTGTATGATATTCAGGTACAAATGGAAGATGAATGTTGTTGCTTAGGAATCCTATTATAAAAATGATTATTGTCGTTGGTTTTTTTTTGGGGGGGGGACCAGACATTAGGATGATTATATATGCAAGAGTCTGAATGTTCTGACCTACTAAGTGTAATTATATGTGGAGTTTCCACTTTCATTTTAAAAGGGGTTGATTTACTTGATAAGATTTCTTTCCTGATACTTTTGCTGTAACTATAATAACTTCAGTCAACACCATAAGACATATATAACCTCTGGTTATGCCCCTTCCATTTTGAATCCTATCCCTTTTTGTGTTATGGGAGTTCCTGTTTTCATATATCTCCTCCCTTCTCCCTTCTCTACTACCTTTACCCTCTCCACTGGCTTCTTCCCTTGTGCTGTCAAAGACATATCATTGTCTCTTAGCTTTAAGTAAACAGAAAAATTTCAACATAACTCTTTTTTTTTCTGTTTTGCTTCTTCCAAATAGGCAGCATGATATCTAGGTAAGGTACTGGATTTGTAGTCATGGGGTCTGGGTTTAAATCCTTGTTACCTGTGTGACTTTGGACGAGTCATTTAAGCTATCTTTTCTTCTAACTCTGAAATCTATGATTCTCTAATCCATGGCCTATATGCATTCCCTTTAATTCTTTATTAACTTTAACAGAAATAAATTCAGACTGGGGTTGGTTTTGGGGGAAAGATAATGAATTCTGTTTTGGACATGTTAGGTTTGAGATAGCTATGGGACATCCCGTCTGCAATGTCCAACACTGGTGAAGTGATATTAGAGTCATTTGCATAGAGAAGGCAATTAAACCCATGGAAGCTGGTGGAATCACCAAACCAAAGTTCAGAGAAGAGAGCCTTAGGAACACCCAGTTAGGGAAAGGCATGCTGGGGGTGAAACAATCATTGATTACCTCAATTCAAAATGCTACTACCTTTTTAAAAATTTCTATGTTAATTACATATCATAACATTTAGCACTTGATTTACTGTCATAAATCATTCCATGATTCATGTCTATTCAATCTTTTCTCCACCCAGTGGATATTTGATTTAGACATAGCAAGGTATGGTGTAATAGAATGAACTTCTGACTTGGAGCTGATAGTCTATTGGGCTGGAGTCCCTGCTCTGCTAAGAACTATTCTTGTCACTTTTATCATTAGGAGCCTCAATTTTCTTATCTGTTAAATGGAGATAATACCTGGATTATCTATCTCACATGGCTATCATAGGAAAATTGCTTTGTCAATGGTAAAATGCTACAGAAATGTGAAATATTGCCACAGGGTGGTAACGGTCTACATGCTTCTCTCACCCAGTTTTGCTGCTACTATCTAGACCTGCCTCAATCAGGACTTCTATTAATGGAGTCTTGGATTCTGCCCAAGCAGTGTCAGCCAAAAAAAAGAACATTGCTTTGGTTCTAGGCTGTAGGAAGACACCCATTAAACACTTCTGGGGAGGCCACAAAGCTTAAGGCATAGGTCAGCTTTAAACCCTGATCTACTGTGGCTCAGTATTTATTGAATTTCTAAGTGACACTCAGAGAAAGCACCTACATAAAACACTTTGGTAAATGGATAAACAATCCTAACAGATCAATATGGAGGAATGGAAAATAAATGCAAACAAATTAGAACTGTGGCCACAACACAATTCTTGCTGTAACCTGCTATTAGTCTTGAAAGAGAATGGCATGTAGGGGGAAAACCAGGGATGAGGCTCCCCCTAGTGAGAAGCATGCAGCAATGAATTCACCATATCCAACATGACCTAGCTTCCTTAGCTTCCAGATCTAAAACTGAAGAATTACAAAATCTCAGAACTGCATGGTATTTCAGACTTTGTCTATTTCAAACTGTACCTGTGACTTCCTGTAACATGCCAGACAAGTATATGGCCTCTCCTTGAAGACCTCTAATGATGGGAAACTCACTACCTAAGAAAGGTACTTGTTCTACTTTTTGATTGATATCTTTGATTATTAGAGTTTTAGATAACATGAGCCAAAACTGGTAACTTCTACCACTGGTCCTAGTTCTGTGTCCTAATACCTCAGAACCCATGAAACAGAACTACTGTTTAAGACCCATCTAACTTGTCAGTGAGAACTTCCCATTTTCAATACTCAGACACACAAGATGGGTCCCTATAATCTGCCAAAGGTTACCCAACTTTTCTCATGATATTTCCTAATTATAAATCCAAAGAGACTACTAACAAAAACAGTCACTAAAAAAAGGCATTTTTCAAGAGAATTACACCTTTCCTTTCCTCCCATTATTTTCTCTTCGAAAAGAAATTACGGAGACTGTAAGGTGATTTGTCAAGCTCCTCTACATTAAAGCTAAGACCACACTTGTTTCACTGGCCAGTAGACCTTAAGACTCTAAGTCAGTCCTGGGTGGTCTGCAGATCAGACCTGGAAACAGTTATAGTACTTTACCATGACAGTATGATCCCAGTGAAAGGGAGAGTCAAAATGAATATCTGGATAAGAGGGTCAGATATAAATAGCAAATTATAATAATTCATTTTTCATTTTTCCTGATTAAATAACCTTTTGGATTTCAGAAATCAGATTCCTAAAACAGGCTTCCTGCTGACAGTCACTTGTGAGACTGACCTCAAATGGAGAACATTCTGGGAAAGGATACCATGGGGTTCAATTTTGCCTTGTGAATGAATAAGGATGTAAGACAGTCCAAAGATGTTACTCATAATAGTGAAACACATTAGGCAGTTTGGTAGGGTAATGGACAGAGCACTGAACTTGGAGTCAGAAAGACCTACGTTCATATCCAGCATCAAGTACTTATTAGCTATGTGACCGTCAGCAAACGATTCAGCCTGTTTGCCTCAGTTTTCTCTTCTGTAAAACAAAGATAACAATACTTGCCTCCTAGGGTTTTTGTGAGGCCAAAATGAGATATTATTTACAAAGGGCTTTGTAAACCTTGAAGTGTTATATAAATGCTATTATTACTGTTATTCTTTCTCCTTTCTCTCTCCTGCCCCCTCATTTCCATCTGATCCTAGAAGGTAGGTGGCCTACTATTTTTTTTAAAATTTGTTAATTAATTAATTCAGTTTTAGTTTTCAACATTCACTTCCACAAGATTTTGAGTTTCAAATTTTCTCCCCATCTCGTCCCTCCCCCCACCCCAAGATGGCATGCATTCTGAATACACCTTCTCCTAATCTGCCCTCCCTGCTATCTCTCCCCAACCCTTCTCTTATCCCCTTCCCCTTCAATTTTCCTGTAGGGGAGGATAGATTTCTATACCCCATTTCCTGTATATCTTATTTTCCAGTTGCATGTGAAAACAATTTTTTTTTAAATTTCTGTTTTTAAAACTTTGGGTTTCAAATTTTCTCCCTTCCTCCTTACCCACCCACCTTCACTGAGAAGGCAAGCAACTCAATACTGGTTATACATGTGTAATCACGCAAAACACTTCCATAGTAGTCATGTTGTGAAAAACTAAGTACATTTCC